GGCGGATGACCAGTATGGTCCTGCCTGTAATGGAGTATGTTTGTGGAGAATGTTGGCTACAGGGAGCATCAAGGAGCACTGAGACCCCAGGGTGTTGGGGAACAGTGAATCTTAAAGGCGACATCAACCTAACCAGAGGTCACATTGTCATGCCTGGCACCCCATTTGGTTTTTCTGCCAGAAGCATGGAGGTTAGAATTTAACCATGAGAAGGAGTCAGACGATACACACTGAAAGAGTCTGTAAAGGCACCAGCCTGTGGCAGGTGTGCGGACTCACACCTGTAATCCCAGAACTATGGGAGGCCCAGGCAGGTGGATTGCCTGAGCTAACAGGTTTGAGACCAGCCTGAGCCAGAGCAAGACCTCATCTCTAAAAATAGCCAGATATTGTTTTGGGCACCTCTAGTACCAGCTATTTGGGAGGCTGAGGCAAGAAAATCAATTGAGTCCAAGAGTTTGAGGTTGCCGTGAGCTGTGACGCCACAGCACTCTACCCAGGGTGACCAAGTGAGACTCTGTATCAAAAAAGAAAAAAAAGAAAGAAAGAAAGAAAGATAGATAAAGGCACCAGCCTGGACTCTGCAAAGAATCAGTGCTACAAAATATTAAAAAAAAGGTGGAGGCTGGGTGAGGTGGCTCACATCTGTGATCCAACACTCTGGGAGGCCAAGGTGGAAGGATCCCTTGAGCTCAATAGTTCAGAACTAGCCTAAGCAAGAGCAAGACCCCTGTCTCTAATAAAAATAGAAAAATTAGCCAGGTGTTGTGTTGGGATCCTGTGGTTCCAGCTACTCAGGAGGCTGAGGCAGGAGGATCACTTGAGCCCAGGAGTTTGAGGTTGCTATGAACTAGGGTGATACCACTGGACTCTAGCCTGAGGGACAGAGGGAGACTCCATCTCAAAACAAACAAACAAACAAACAAGAAGATGGAGGCTGCTCAAGAATAAAGTACTCTGAGGGAGGGACACGACAGCCCTGTGCAATGTATGATGCCTGGTGAGTTCTTGGTTGAGAAAAAGGCATTACACATATTTTGGGAACACAGGAAAATCAAATACCAGGTGTTAAGAGATCATTGTGTAGAGCTTCTTTAGGGACAGCTTTTGGTCTTAAGAGATGCCTGTGGAAGGATCTAGGGTTGAATTGTCATATTAGCAGACTTAATTAACTAATTAACGGGGTGGCAGGGGAAAGGGCTCAGACACAGCAAAATACTAACAGATCTTGGAGCTAGGTGAAGGGTACAAAAGGGTTTGCTGTGCTATTCTGCAGTGCTTCTGAAGATTTGAAATTTTTCTAACTAAAAAGTTCTGGAAGGCTCGGCGCCTAT